CCGCCTCACCCCGCTCCCCCTGCACCGGCGTCATCCGCCATTTGGTGTTTTATCGGAGAAGAAGCGCCATAGCTTTTATACAATTTTTGTAGGTCCATGGATCCAAAACATTAAGAAACACTACTATATACATGAGAAAATTCCCTACTTATTCAATAAACATTCACGAAACACTTGCTACATAGAGATACTATGCTGTCTTTGTCCTCATAATGGAGGATAACATGCAAAACAAATATTCTGAATAATTTCAGTGATTTATGTCATGAAGAAATTTTCTTTTTCTTCTTAACGATACAAGCAGACTCCCTTTGTGATGTCTTCCTACCTGCTTATCTCAATGATCTAAAGAAGATACCATGTTATTTTTTGACTAGTAAAGCAGAAGATACCATGTTATAAAGTATCTAACACATAGCAGATCCTCAAATGTTAGTTTCTTTCCTTTCACTTATTAATTTAGAACCACACTTTTCTTCTTCCCTTCTTTCTCTCCCTAGTGTTTCTTTTAATTTTTATTGAAATGAGATCCTGTTGTAGAAATACATTATCCAGAGTCAGAGTAGGAGGCATGGTGTGATTTTACCATATCCATACACCTATAAAGTACAGTAGCAGTACAAAAGTTCTTAAATAATGTAGGTTAAATATCAAAAGTTTTGGCATATAGAAGGTACTGAATGAATAGTGGCTAATAAAAAAAAAACAAAAAATCAAATCAGAAGAATAGCAGCTGCAGACTCAAAGGAAGTGAGAATAGCAAAAACACTGGTAAGTTTTCATAGGTTTCATAATCATATATTGTGAAAACTACAAGGAATTTTAGAGTACAAAAGTCATTCTATATAGGAAAAGACTGAGGGTCACACAGCTATATCCACTTGAACTCAATTCAGATCAGCCTTAACTTTGCTATACAGCTTCTGACATAAAATTACATGAAATCTGAAGAGACCATAATGCTTACTAGAATTTGGTTATTGATATCCCAAATGTATCTCTCTAGTTAAAACTAGAGGAAAAAACCTTAGGGGGGAAAAAACTAACACATACACACAAGGGTTTTGCCTCTAGCTGGAGAACTCTCAAGTGGACCTTGGCATATGCTCAGTCCAACTTCACTATTTTATAATTATGAAATTGAGGCCCAGAAAGGGAGTGACTTTCTTTTTTTAGTAGGGTTGGGGGACAAATATTTTGCTCTTGTCACCCAGGCTGGAGTATAATGGTGGGATCTTGGCTCACTGCAACCTCTGCCTCCTGGGTTCAAGCAATTCTCCTGCCTCAGCCTCCCAGGTAGCTGGGATTAGAGATGCCTGCCACTATGCCCAGCTAATTTATTTTTAGTAGAGACAAGGTTTCACCATATTGGTCAGGCTGGTCTTGAACTCCTGACTTCAGGTGATTCACTCACCTTGGCCTCCTAATGTGCTGGGATTACAGGCGTGAGCCACCGAACCTGGCTAGGGGAGTGACCTTTTAGGAATAAGTTACTTATTCTGTTTCAGTTCAGTACAGAATCCCAGGTTGGTAGCTCCCAATTAAGATAGATCATTTTTTACATGAACGTCACCCCTCTTCAGACTCATCTCTTTCTTTAGTGTTCCCTATCTTTGAGAATCCAGGTCTCTTCTATTACTCAGAACACACTACCCGTATCTCTCCTTCCATGCACACTGCACAGTGTTCCACCTCAGGCCCTAATCTCTTCCCTAAGCCTTCATTCCCATACTCTAACCAAACACACACATCCTTTACCTTCGTTCTGAGTCCAATTCTTTTTCTTTATATTTTGAGACAAGGTCTTGCTATGTGCTCAGTCTGGTCTTGAACTCCTGAGCTCAGGCCTTTCTCCTGAGTAGCTGGGACTACTGGCTTATGCCACAATGCCAGGTGGAGTACTAATTCTCTTCAACAGTTTAAATTACCAGCCAAGATACTAACGATTAATAATAGTATAATTTAGCATTTCCTTGCTTATATTTCTATAAGCTTATTAGAAAAGGCATGATCTCAACCCAAAAGGGCATACTTTTTGAATAAGGAATAACTGTACATGACACATTCAAACTTTTTTTTTCTTTTAAGAGTCTCACTCTGTAGCCCAGGATGGAGTGTAGTCGTGCGATCTTGGCTACCTGCAATCCCCACCTCCCAGGTTCAAGCGATTCTCCTGCCTCACCCTCCCTAGTAGCTGGGATTACAGTCACATGCCAGGTGTATTCCAACATGCCCGGCTAATTACTTTGTATTTTTGCTAGAGACAGGGTTTCACCATGTTGGCAAGCTGGTCTCGAACTCCTGTGTTCGGACTGCAAGCATGAGCCACCACATCCGGTCCAGATGTTACTTTTTGAAAAATAAAAAACCATTTTTAATCACAAAAATTATAAATAAGACGGCTCAAAAGGATTTTTTTGAGGTGACATAATTATTTTGTATCTCGATTATGGTGGTGGTTATATGATCCTATGCCTTTGTCAAAACTCATATATTGTATACCAAAAAGAATGAATCTTACTGTATGTAAATTTAAAAATTAACAAGACTTTTTTTTTCTTTTCTTTTTTTGAGACGGAGTTTCACTCTTGTTGCCCAGGCTGGAGTGCAATGGCGCGATCTCAGCTCTCTGCAACCTCCGCCTCCTGGGTTCAGGCAATTCTCCTGCCTCAGCCTCCTGAGTAGCTGGGATTACAGGCACACGCCACCATGCCCAGCTGATTTTTTGTATTTTTAGTAGAGACGGGGTTTTCACCATGTTGACCAGGATGATCTTGATCTCTTGGCCTTGTGATCCACCCGCCTTGGCCTTCCAAAGTGCTGGGATTACAGGCTTGAGCCACCGCGCCGGCCTTAACAAGACGTTTTTAAAAGAGGAGAAAAGTAATTGCATAGTCTGCTGATGTCCCTTAGTTTTCCTGCCCAGCGGTAATCACAATGCAATACTGGTTTTCTAAAGAACCGGTCGGGTGTAGTGGCTCACACCTGTAATCCCAGCACTTTGGGAAGCTGAGGCAGGACTGCTGGAGCTCAGGAGTTTGAGACTAGCCTGGGCAACATGGCAAAATCCTGTCTCTACTAAAATCAGGAAGGCATGGTGGCACGCATCTGTAGTCCCAGCTACTCAGGAGGCTGAGGCTGGAGGACAACTTCAGCCTGGGAGGCGGAGGTTGCAGTGAGCCGAGATTGCACCACTGCACTCCAGCCTAGGTGACAGAGCCAGAACTTGTCTCCAAAAAGAAAAAAAAGATTTTTCTTTTAACAGGAGAAAAAAGCATACAAAATTATTTTTTTGACACAAAATAGATGTACATAATCTTGGGTACATGAGATAATTTTATACATCCATGTAATTTGTAAAGATCAAATCACTGTACTAAGAATGATATTCTGATGCTAGAAATTTAGTCACTGAGGCAGATTTATTGGGGAGATGTTTTTGGAAATGACTTTTTAGTCCTCGTAAGCTGGGAAATCCACTATTCTACTCAAGGATAAGACTGGCACTTATTTGGGCAAATGAAAATGAGAAAATCAGGGAGTAAGGTCTAGGGAAGATAACTTAGAATTAAGACTGACACTAAAATTTTAACATAGAGGAACTAGAGCCAAAACAATAAATAAAAATAAAAATGATTACATAAGAACAAAAATGTGACTGTTTTCAAACGTTAGAGATTTTACTCCAGGGCTGTGCTCAAAAAGCATCCTGCTTGATAGTTTACCTGGAATCAAGTATTCTCTCCCCTTCCTACTAATATTACTCTTATATCTTATTCAATTTCTATACAGTTCTTAAGTGTTTTTTCAGTTACATGTCATCCATGCCAACATATCCATTTGACCCATTTAATTGATATTGCATGATTACTAAATATAAAATTAATAGTTCTGGTATTTTATTGCCATTACAATACTTATATTATTCTACTGCAGCTTTTTTGGCTTGCAGGTCGATTTCAACTCTCCCTGCCAAAACTGTCAGATTCATATTGGCATGTCTGTTTATTATCTTGGTATCCCCAGAATTTACCTTGTATATTATCTGACACCTAGTGGATACCTAATGAATATTTGCTGAAGAAACAAAAGCCCTGTTTTAAGCACTGAATACGAATATGGTTGAGCTCCTGCTTTTAGAAGAACTTTCAACTTAGTGGTCATGTACTCTGAATATAATTAGTAGGACATGAACAAGGGTGGGTAAATAGAGGACAGACAGTAGAGAAAGACTGAATGTAGTCCGATTACATGGAAACAATTTATCTTAACATATTATTACAAACATTAGTGGTAAGGTGCATAACAGGAGACCCTTTACTGTCCTTTCATAGACTTGTGCCAATGATAGAAAACCTTACTGGGTGACAGGAAAATAGGTTAGATGAATATAGGCTATCTGAAAATGTTCTAATTGTACTTTATTTTTAAAGAAACAGAGGATAAAAACAGCCTTTGACAAGACTGCATATTATTGGAATCTATTATCATAAAGAATAAAGTGCTAAAACAATTTATTTCACTATAAAACAAGTCTGGCCGGGTGCAGTGGCCAGCACTTTGGGAGGCCAAGGTAGGCGGATCACTTGAGACCAGGAGTTCAAGACCAGCCTGGCCAACATGAAGAAACCCCGTCTCTACCAAAAATACAAAAATTAGATGGGTATGGTTGTGTATGCCTGTAGTCCCGATTATTCTGGAGGCTGAGGCAGGAGAATCACTTGAATCTGGGAAGCGGAAGTTGTAGTGAGCCGAGATCCTACCACTGCACTCTAGCCTGAGCGACAGAGCAAGACTCCATCTCAAAAAACAAACCAACCAACCAACCCCAACCCCCAACTCCCGCCAAAAGACAAGCAAGCAAACAAACAAAAAAAACAAACAGAAAAAATTCCCAAGGCTTTCTGGAGCTATTTCACAGGCTTCCTTCAGAAGATAAACTTAAGTGCTACAGTAATGGCTTTATGGTCACAGCATTAACTACTTGATGACATAAAGCCCAACTATCAATACATGTTTTATTCTCAAATACTACGGTCCTCTCTCCTGATGCTTTCATAGACTAGTTCTTATGTATTGAGAATCGAGGACTCCAATTCAGTCTCCTGTTGAGGCAAGGTAGGATTTCATCAAGAAACGTTCCTTGATTTTCTGAAACTGCACTTTGCTAGCGCAAAATCTGTCACAAAAGACTTGAGTAAGTGGGGGCATGTAAGTTCATTGTTAAAGGACTAAGCAATCCATTAGGGTCTTATAATTTAACAACCTATTTATCTATTAAACAGTTACTGAATGCCTACTGTGTATGTGACAGGCAGAATAAAATATCATACTACTTACTGGTAACAATAACATGTGGCTGCCAAGGCAGCTTAGTGGTTTATGAACCAGTCATTTTGCAGCATTGTGCTAAAAGGAGAGAAGGTAAAATCAAGTTGTTTCCTAGATGTTATAATCAGATTTTGGGGAGCACCATGAATTTTTTTTTTAATTTTGAGAGACAGGGTCTTGCTCTGTAGCCCAGACTGGAGTGCCATGGCATGATTATGGCTTACTGCAGCCTCAAACCTCTTGGGCTCAAGTGATCCTCCCACCTCAGCCTCCCCAGTAGCTAGGACTGCAGGCATGTGCCACCATACCCAGCTAATTAAAAAATTTATTGTCGAGATAAGGTCTCCCTATGTTGCCTAAGCAGGTCACAGGCTTCTAGGCTTAAGCAATCCTCCTGCCTTGGCTTCCCAAAGTGCTAGGATTACAGGTGTGAGCCACCAGGAACAGTCTGTTGTAAATTTTAAAGGTGGTTTTCTAACTTTACTCATTAACCTACAATTAGTAAGTTCTACCTTTTCAAGGTTCAGCGGTTATGCAGTTCATTAATAATTATCAAAAACATAAAATTGGGCCATGTAACCTGCATGAAAACTGCAAGTTAAAAAAAAATATTTGGAATTAAAACTGTTCACTGAAGTCTGGGACATATCATCAATGTATTTATAGTCTAAGCATTAATTGGCCTAGATGACTGTTCTGGAAAGGAAATGACAGGTCAACAGTTCATTATCCTAAACACTTGGGAGCAGGTGTGATCCAGAATTCATAAATCTTTGGAGTTGAGGATGGCAATAAAGCTCATATACTGTGTATTACGGAATGTCCGGAATAGGGTCTGGGGCAGCGTACTATGATCAAACAAGTTATGCAATGAAGTGATGAATGTTCACAGTAAGTAAAATAAGTAGTTTATAAATGGCTTCACATCAATACATATCAGGCCAGCTTTTTTTTCCTCAGGTACTAAATTTCCTTATCTGTAAAATGAAGTCCTATTTTAACTTTTTCAAGTTATGGATTGACAAACATGACTGCTGAGTCAGAACTGAAATTATCTGTATCATGCACTAATATAGAGATATTGGTCTGGTGCTACCTTTGTGGATCAGAAGGGCTGGGAAATATCTCTTTATTAGCCCTTTCTCAGTCCAAACAGTGTTTTTGCCTAAACTGTTCTATTTCCTTCTAAAAAAGTTATGTGAAAACGTATCTATTGATGAGGTGGGGGGAAGAGGCATTAGAAAACTCTATTAGCTATAAATCACCACTACAAAACACAAAAATCTTGAAATGTTTTTCTTGAAGGGTAGAGCAGAAAAGATGCGATGGCAAAGCAGACACAATTATTGCAGCATAAACTATAGCTTACCTATAAAGCTGTTAAACTATTACATATTTGAACACGTGCATTTCCTAGGCTTTGGGAATACAACAGATGCAGTGAAGAATACAGACAAAAATTCAATCACTGAATTATATAATTCTATCTACAATGGACATTATTTAGGTTACAAATAATCCCTCCAATCTGCTCATTTACTGAATAAACAGCGTTTAACTGTATACATGGCATTTCATTTTTCATGTTGTCCCTTGATGAATTTGTTTCTAAAATTTTGAACTCACTGAAGATGTTCACTCATTTGTTCTATTGTGTACCAAGTGTAGTGGATATAGTCAGGCTTGGATATTAAAACCTATACATTCAGAAATTTTAAAAAGAGCTACATCCTCTCCCACCCTCATCCCTGATGAAACAAATTGGAAATTGAGTAATTTTGAAAAAGTCTCGTAGTCTTCACCATGAGAAAAATGAGATCTTCCTTAAATTCACCTTATAGTGTAAATGTTTTGATTTTAAATTATATAGGGTAAGGCATCACAAGTTTTTCATTGCTTAGGTGTCTTCCTGATTTCAATCAGGCTTTGGATACAGCCGTGCAAAGGACAAGCTCCTACATTTTTAACCAGGGTTCTTAATTAGGAGCTTATAGATGAATTAAAGGGGTCTGCTACATCTTTCTTTTCTTTTGAGACAGGGTCTGGCTCTGTTGCCCAGGCTGGAGTGCAGTGGTGTGATGTTCAGTCATAGCCATCTTTGCCTCCCTGGTTCAAGTGATTCTCCTACCACCACGCCAGGCTAATTTTTAAATTTTTAGTAGAGACATGGTCTCATCATGTTGGCCAGGCTGGTCTCAAATTCCTGGGCTCAAATGATCCACTCACTTTGGCCTCCCAAAGTGCTGGGATTGTTATGAGCCACCATGCCTGGCCTCTATTTTTAATAATTTCTAATAAAATTTAAACACAGCCAACAAATCACAATAATGTTAGCAATAAATGTGACTGTCACAATTGAACTGATATATTCATATCGCATTACAATTGTTGCAGGTAACTTGAAATATTTATGCTCACCACATTACTATGTTGAATAGGGCCACTGCTAGATCTTATTCGTTAAAAAAGCACATATATTTCTATATCAAATTTTTATAACTGTTTCAGTATTATTGGATCTTTTTTGTAATTCAATGTACTGTACTTTAAATGTTTAAAGGATTTTAAAAAGCGATCAATAGATTTCACTAAATGGACAAAGGGGTCCATGACACTAAAAAAGTTAAGAGTAAAATGGTTTAGATGGCCACAGCCATCTGTACCTCTAGGGGGTCTTATACTTGGTATTTACTCAACACATATTTATAGAATGAAATAATTTAAAGTTGGTTGAAATTGTGCCCCCAAAATATCAATACTTTGAATGTCTATAATAGAGTCCTCTAGGGCTGCTTCTTATTTAAAAACTTTTTAATAAAAATCAAATGCTTTACATCAGGCGTTTCCAACCTGTGGCCCAGGACAGCTTCGAATACAGCTCAACACAAATTCATAAACTTTATTAAAACATTGTTTTCGTGATTTTTTTTTTTTTTTTTGAGACGGGGTTTCACTCATGTTTCCTAGGTTGGTGTTTAATGGCGCGATCTCGGCTCACCACAACCTCCGCCTCCTGGGTTCAGGCAATTCTCCTGCCTCAGCCTCCTGAGTAGCTGGGATTACAGGCACGCGTCACCATGCCCAGCTGATTTTTTGTATTTTTAGTAGAGACGGGGTTTCACCATGATGACCAGGATGGTCTCGGATCTCTTGACATCGTGATCCACCCGCCTCGGCCTCCCAAAGTGCTGGGATTACAGGCTTGAGCCACCGTGCCCGGCCCATTTCCTTTTATTGCCCAATAATATTCTGTTATGGATATAGTACACTTTGTTTATCCTTTCATCAGTTGATGAACATGTGGTTGTTTCCACCTTTTAGCTATTATGGATAATGCCATTATGAGTAGTTTTTTCATTAATACATGTTTTTATATCTCTTGCATATACCTAAGAGTGAAATTGCTTGGTCAGGTGATTAAGGTGTAAGAATTCTTTTTATGGCCAGGCATGGTGGCTCATGCCTGTAATCTCAGCACTCTGGGAGGCGAAGGTGGGCGGATCACATGAGGTCAGGAGTTTGTACCTGACCAACATGGAGAAACCCCGTCTCTACTAAAAATATAATATTAGCTGGGTATGGTGGCACATGCCTGTAATCTCAGCTACTCGGGAGGCTGAGACAGGAGAATGGCTTGAACCCAGGAGGCGGAGGTTGCGGTGAGCTGAGATCACGCCATTGCACAAGAGGGAAACTCCATCTCAAAAATAAATGAATAAATAAA